CATGTCAATGGAAACTCATTTTATTTTGCACTCAGACAGATTAGGGGATGTCTGTGCCTGAGGGACCAGTAGGTGTGAGATGAAGGGTCACTCTCTCCTGTCACCACCCCAGTGCTGCCTGCGGGAGCCCCCCTGTCCCTGCGTGGGGACGCCGGGCACCACGGCAGCCTTTCCCCAAGGAAAAGGAGAGAGCTGCAGCCATACAGAGGTCCCCTTACATTCACGTACCTGAACCCCCTCTCAGAGCACTCCTGCTTCAGTGAAAGAGGGCAACCCAACCAGAAGAGCTACGAGGCATCATCTCCTTTGCAAATACAACCCGAGTCCTCGTCAAAGAGCCCAGCTGCATTGCAATGCAATAAATGTGCCTCCATGAGGCAGGGTCAGGCACCAATGCCTGTGACCATTCTCTTTGTGCTGCTCATCTCTGAGCACGTGTGAAAACCCTTTTATAAGGCGGTCCTCCCCCTTCTCCCTCCAGCAGTGATATTTCTCAGCTCTAAAGCCTTGTTTTCCCTGGAAGGGAGAGAAGCTGCTGGAAGCCAAGCAGCGAGGGCACAGGGGGGCAGGGAGAGCACGTTCGGAGGGTATTACGGGTGGGAAGGATGTGCCAAGGAAGAAAGCTGCTTCCAGGGATCTATATATACGCAGCTCCCCAAGGTGGGGTTACTGAGAGGCTCATTCCCAGGCTGCCTGTGGCACTCCCCGAACAACCACGGCCAGAGCTGCCTCCGAGCCGCACGCTTTAGTTTCAGAGCATGGCCTTGAGCAGCCGAGACGAGATGGGGTTTGGCTGCGGTCCCTGCAGGCACAGGAGGATAAGCTGCCCAGGGTCGCTGCGGTGCTGGAGGTTTGCACGCTGCTGGCCCCAGATCTGCATGGAGCAGCGTAGTTTCGAGGTTGACAGGATACCCTGGGGAGTGACGGGGGGAGAAGGAGAGCCCCTGGGCAATAAAAGCTTTCTCCATCATCTGCTCATCCCCATCACATCCCCAGTGGGAGCCAGAAACACTCCTGGTTTTCCTCACTGCATCGCAGTCGGAAGCTGCTTTATTTGTCAGGTCCTGAACAAATAAAAACCAGAGCCTTTGCCAGCTGCAATTACTACTAATTCCCCAGGCTTCAAGCCAGACCCTTTTGGTCCTCTCAAAGGCTGTTGTGCCCCTGAGGGACTGAAGAGGATCCCCAAAGCTGCCAGCAGTTCCCGGGAAAGAGCGTGAGGCTGGGGGATGCTCCGAATGGCCCTCTTGCTAAAGCTGCCCACCCTGACTGGCATCTCTCCCACGTGGGAGCCCCCAACACCAGCACTGCCTGCAATTATCCATCGGTTGATCAATAGGTTACAGTCACCCTCATGTGCTCCTTTTTCCAGTGCCAGGAGATGCACCATGGAAATCCATACATCTGAATAACTCTTTTAATTATTTGTGAAAGAAAAATGCCTGTTCAGTAGAAAGAAAGAAAGAAAGAAAGAAAGAAAGAAAGAAAGAAAGAAAGAAAGAAAGAAAGAAAGAAAGAAAGAAAGAGAGAAAGAGAGAAAGAGAGAAAGAGAGAAAGAGAGAAAGAAAGAAAGAAAGAAAGAAAGAAAGAAAGAAAGAAAGAAAGAAAGAAAGAAAGAAAGAAAGAAAGAAAGAAAGAAAGAAAGAAAGAAAAACCCTAACAGGCAATGTTCCATTTGATTAAATTTTTCTGTGGATGAATGAAATAAAAAAAGAAGAAAATTTCTTATAAAATAAAATCATTTGAGGCTTTGAAGGGCTTTGCTTTAATGCTTCACTTTCAAAAATAAAGAATGCCACAGAATGTGTTGCTTAGGAATTTCCTGTGAAAAATAATGGTAATTTTCAAGTGGCCTCTATTTTGTCCTTTTACTAAATCACACTGAATAAATATTATTGGCCAACCGCCCACGGGAGATTCACAGTCAACTGAGTACACAGTGGAGCTGCACTGGTGTTGGTGCTGGGAGGGTGTTCAGCTCCTCCCAGCAAAGCCAAACCAAATAAATACTGCAGGTCAAAGTGCTTTTTGGTTCTGCAGTTTTGGAGTCCCAGGGGAGAAGCACATCAGGGCACCAGTTCCCTTTCCCAAATGGGGGACAGAGCCGTGACATTTTGTGGGAGGTGGCCCATCCCGGGCCACGTTCTGCTCGCTGTGCAATGCAGATTATCACATTAGCAAAATCTCTATCAAAATGAAATTAAGAAGCACCTTCAGTGCCCTCAGCTTCTCCAGGATTCCCTTTGTTCTTCTGCTCACAGAGGCTCCCTCCAGCCTGTCCCTCAGAACCCGGGTTTTCCCTGTTACGTAGCTTCTCAAATAATTTTGCTAACAGCCCAGACATCTGCAGACCCCGGGGAAGCTTACATCAAAGCCCAGCCCTGACTGTGCCTCTCATGCCCATTTAAACAGCCCCACATAATTTTTTTCCCCTCAAGGACCCTTTCTTTCTCCAGAATTTCCATCCCTTGGTGATATTTGCATCCAGGGCAGCTTGTTGCCTTGCCCACTGGGTGCAACTGCGGAGCCAGGCTATGGAGAGTTGTCCTGCACTGGTCCAGCCCCGATGCAGCAGCCTGGGAGCAAGCGGTGAGCGACAGCCCCAGAGGATGCTGCTGGCAAGAGCCATTCTGCCATTCCCCTCCCTCCCACGGCACCCCCCGTGTCCTGCGTCCTTCCTTCTAGTCCCTTTTACTCCTCTGCGGTCACATTTATTCCTTTGCCTCTCTCAAAACAGAGGGTGCTGGTCCTGGCGATCCTTCGCCTGCCGCCAACAGCACCGTTACAGGCACAGGGAGGATAATGAAATTCTCAAGAAATGCACAACGAAGACCAAACCCGGACCGCTATGTGCAAGTGAAATTTTCCAAAACATCTTCCCAACACCAGGGCTTATAAACCGTGTGAAAATTCAATTCACCTGTTTCCGCATAATCTGTGTCTTCTAGTTCTGAAAATCTGAAGCTCAAATAAAAGTGGGGTTTCAGACTAAAGAATGCTTTTTGGTTTGAAATTAAAACCTGAACAGGTTTGGTTTGGTTTGGTTTTAAGGTTAGGCTTAAAAATTTGTTGCATTTGTTCATTGATTGAGCAACAAAAGCAACACAACAGTCTTTTTTTTTTTTTAGCTGTAAAAATGCACTTTTTGGCACTTAGTTTCAAGAGGATGAAATTGGCATTAAGACTAATGAGAACACCTGGTGCTGTGGGTTAGTACGAGACTAAACGCTGCTGTTAGAGCCGACAACAAGGTGCCAGCGGCGGCATCAGCCCCCCCCCTCCATGCGAGGCAGCGCCCGTGCAATGCCCTGGCTGCCGGAGGATTGCCCTCTGCCCATGGCTGCGCTCACATGAGCAGTCCTAAACTCAAGTTTGGCATTGCAAAATCTAGGTCTTCATTCAGAGGGAGCATACATCCCCGGCACCCACTGGAGGGAGGGTGGCTGGCTCAGCATCACTCCCCCCAAAAATCAGTCCCTCCTATTGTGGGTTTAGGACCCTAACTTTAATCATGCAGGTGGAAAAGCTGAGTCTGTGCTGGTAGCCCACAGAGAGCACTGTCTAATCCACAAGGCTGCTTTTGTAACTTCACTTTCATCTGTGCTGCTAAACCAGCCTTTTAATCAAATAGCAGAAACAGGTCCTAAAATCCATCTCGTAACACCACTTAAGCCACAACTGAACCTGAGATCAGGGGTCAAGTACTGAGGACTTAATGTTAGTTAAGCATCTCCCCAAATCCCCACACAGAGCTGTCAGCTCAAATAAGTGCCACTACGCAACAACTTGCACACGCAGCAAGTAAAAGCTCCTGTTTGGTTTTTAAGAAGCAACCGTGTTCCTGCTTTCCAGTTCAACCCCAGTCACTCGGAGAGGGATCTTGGCTCAGGAGCTCCTAGGGCTGCCCAGGGGCCTCTCTGCCCCCAGGTACCGGGGAAGGATCCGGGCAGCTCCTCCCGCAGGCTTTTCCTACAAAGAAGCATACTCACGTGTGGCTCTCACCTTAATGCAGGGGAAAACAGCCAAAATGCAGAAGTGCACCCTTGGCATAGTCACAGCAGAGCAAAAAACCTTCCTGAGCTGGCACTCATCTTTTTTCCCAGCACTGCTGTCTCCCACAACAAAGGGACACCCCAAAATTCAAGCACTACTTTCCCGCCAGAGCCCTGTGCTCCAGGAAGCGTCCTCCTCCAAAGGCTGCCTGCTCCTGCACACGTGCTCTGGCCCAGGGAGCTGCGCCAAGCCTGGCAGGGCTTTCGGGTGGCTCCCCAAGGGACCTGAGCATCTGGTGGGGTGGACAGTGGAAGCTCTGGGGCCCCCCACCTCAGTAAGACAGAAGTGAGACAGGCAGGGGCAGCTTCCCCACCCTCTGAGGCAGAAAGGGCAAGCAAACGCCTGCAGCAGGGGGAAGCCCTGGAGTTTTCCTTTGAACTCCCAGGGAGTCCCTGAGTGAAGGATCTGGGACCTGGAGGGCAGCAGAAGGGGTGGTGCCTCCATGTGCAACCAGGGGCAAGGGCAAGAGTGTCAGGCAGGGTGAGGAAGTGGCCCTGGCTGCCCTCGGCCCCCCAGGGACAGCGTGATGGCAGGCAGGCTTCCCATAAGCGGAGTGGAAAGCTCTTTATTTAACCTGCACCCGCCACCTGCCCTCAGCCCCAGCCTTGCCTCCATCCATCACGGCTTGGAGCTGCATGAGCATGCCAGGGCTACTTTTTTGGCAGTCTGAGTCAAAATCCTTTGCAAGCCAAGGGTCCAGCTAACCCTTTCCCTTCTGGGTCGTGGGGGAAGCACCCACCTTGCAACGGCATGATGCAACACACAGCCAGCCCTAGGCTGCTCTCTGTAACCCAAGCTGGCTCCTCAGGCTGGGGTCCTGTCCCCTCCCCTGTCCTCCTCCTGCCAGGGAGCTCCAGCCCCACCACCCACTGCCCTCACTGTTAGACGACGCGCTACATCAGCGAGTGATGGAAGAAGCCCGGCAAATGATGACAGAAACAACCACATTAGGGGTGTGACAGAATGACTGATGATTTAATGCTTCTTGAAGTTTTTTGTTTCCTTCCACAGGGCATTGGTTTTAAAAACAAACAAAACGAGGTAAAATAAATTAATTTATGTACACTTTACATACACTGTGTCATGTGGAGCTTTGCAGCAACAGTAACCAGAAATTGTTACAAAATAGAAAGTTACATGGCTGTTGCAGGTCCTCGGTAGCCTGCAACCTAGAAGGTTGTCATCCTGAGCATGGTTGGCAAAGTGATCACGTAAACATGTTTAGAAGCATTTACGGTGGACAATGGATGGGCCAGCTTCGTCATATTCCTGCTTTGTGATCCACATCTGCTGGAAGGTGGACAGGGAGGCCAGGATAGAGCCACCGATCCAGACAGAGTACTTACGCTCAGGTGGGGCAATGATCTAGAAAAAGCCAAGAGCCGAGATCAGTGAAGAAGCACCCACTGCAGGTGGGTGGCACAGGGGCGCGCACAGCCCTACGCTGTTTGCAGGAGGGCAGAAGATGGCCACTCCTGCACCTGGGTCCTTCAGGCACCAGCCTTACCTTGATCTTCATTGTGCTGGGGGCCAGGGCTGTGATCTCCTTTTGCATGCGGTCAGCAATACCTGGGTACATGGTGGTACCCCCAGACATGACATTGTTGGCGTACAGGTCCTTCCTGATGTCAATGTCACACTTCATGATGCTGTTGTAGGTGGTCTCATGAATGCCTGCGGACTCCATACCTGGGGGCAGGGAAGGAGAGAAAAGCAGGCGTGTGTTAAGCGCAAAACGAGAGCTCTGTGGGAGGACTTGGCAGAAAGGGGGGAGCTGGTGGGGAAGGAGAGAGGGAAGGAGGCACACACACCAATGAAGGAAGGCTGGAAGAGGGTTTCTGGGCAGCGGAAACGTTCGTTGCCGATGGTGATGACCTGCCCATCAGGCAGCTCGTAGCTCTTTTCGAGGGAGGAGGAAGAGGCAGCGGTGGCCATCTCGTTCTCAAAGTCCAGCGCCACATAGCACAGCTTCTCCTTGATGTCACGGACAATCTCACGTTCAGCTGTGAGGGGGAAGCAAAGGCATCAGTGATTGCAAAGGAGGGACAGGGAACGCTTGCACCTCCATAGGTCTGCTGGGACTCCAGACCCCCAACCACACGCAAACTCCCAACAGGGAGACGGGGCTTGCAGTGGGGCAAGAGGCTGCAGCATCCCTGGAGCTACAAGGGTTGGAGGCGAGGAGGCACATTTTGAAGGAGGGAATAGTGCTTACCTGTGGTGACAAAGGAATAGCCACGCTCAGTCAGGATCTTCATCAGGTAGTCAGTGAGGTCCCGGCCGGCCAGATCCAAGCGCATGATGGCATGGGGCAGGGCATACCCTTCATAGATGGGGACATTGTGTGTCACACCATCACCGGAGTCCAGCACGATACCTGGGGAAACAAAAAGCAGCCACGTCAGATGCAGCCCACGAAGGGCCCTGCCCTGGGGGCAGAGCACTTGTCAGCTGGAGGGGATCCGTCCTGGGCATCCTTGCTTGGGGAAGAGGGGCCAGCAGGACACTTGCACTCACCAGTGGTACGGCCAGAGGCGTACAGGGACAGCACAGCCTGGATGGCCACGTACATGGCAGGGACATTGAAGGTCTCAAACATGATTTGGGTCATCTTCTCACGGTTGGCCTTGGGGTTAAGGGGGGCCTCAGTGAGCAGGGTGGGGTGCTCCTCAGGGGCTACACGCAGCTCATTGTAGAAGGTGTGGTGCCAGATCTTCTCCATGTCGTCCCAGTTTGTGATGATGCCGTGTTCAATGGGGTACTTCAGGGTCAGGATACCTCTCTTGCTCTGGGCTTCATCTCCTACATAGGAGTCCTTCTGACCCATACCCACCATGACGCCCTGCAGGGAAGGAAAGGGGGAGCTCAGCAACCTCTCCACGGGCAGCAGCATGGGGCTCCCCAGCGGGCCGGGCATCCGCCCTCCGGGCGGAGGGCTGGGAGGCAGCAGGG